CCTACCACAACGGATAATGCCATTACCGGATCTACTTCTCCAAAAGTAACAACTCAGGGTCCAACCAATCCACCTACCACAACGGATAATGCCATTACCGGATCTACTACTCCAAAGGTAACAACTCATGGTCCAACCAATCCACCTACCACAACGGATAATGCCATTACCGGATCTATTACTCCAAAAGTAACAACTCAGGGTCCAACCAATCCACCTACCACAACGGATAATGCCATTACCGGATCTACTACTCCAAAAGTAACAACTCATGGTCCAACCAATCCACCTACCACAACGGATAATGCCATTACCGGATCTACTACTCCAAAAGTAACAACTCAGGGTCCAACCAATCCACTACCACAACGGATAATGCCATTACCGGATCTACTTCTCCAAAAGTAACAACTCAGGGTCCAACCAATCCACCTACCACAACGGATAATGCCATTACCGGATCTACTACTCCAAAGGTAACAACTCATGGTCCAACCAATCCACCTACCACAACGGATAATGCCATTACCGGATCTATTACTCCAAAGGTAACAACTCAGGGTCCAACCAATCCACCTACCACAACGGATAATGCCATTACCGAATCTACTACTCCAAAGGTAACAACTCAGGGTCCAACCAATCCACCTACAACAACGGATAATGCCATTACCGAATCTACTACTCCAAAAGTAACAACTCAGGGTCCAACCAAACCACCTACCACAACGGATAATGCCATTACCGAATCTACTACTCCAAAGGTAACAACTCAGGGTCCAACCAAACCACCTACCACAACGGATAATGCCATTACCGACTCTACTACTCCAAAGGGTAACAACTCAGGGTCCAACCAATCCACCTACCACAACGGATAATGCCATTACGAATTCTACTACTCCAAAGTAACAACTCGGGTCCAACAATCCACCTACCAACAACGGATAATGCCATTTTACGAATCTACTACTCCAAGTAACAACTCAGGGTCCAACCAATCCACCTACAACAACGGATAATGCCATTACCGAATCTACTACTCCAAAAGTAACAACTCAGGGTTCAACCAGCAAACCTACAACTTCGGGCGTCATAATTGCGCCATGTTATCCGCCAACATATCCCGATTTATTCCACTGTACTTTTTCAGGATCATTTCCTAATTTGGGAGACGTAGACTGCAAAACATTCATATCGTGTACGAGACAACCCAATGGAGGTTTCGTACAGAAAATAGGACATTGCCCCGCTGGTTCAACCTTCGATCCCTATTTGACCGCATGTTCAACGACATATACCTGCCCAAAATGCCCTACATCTACAACTACTGTCCTTCCTTCTACAACACTGTCGTACCCTGATAGATTTGAATGTGATCATAATGGCAACTTTGACAATTTAGCTGATCCAGCGTGCAAGACCTATTTTTTCTGTACTAAGCTAGCCAGTGGAGGATATTTTAAGGAAGTTCGAACTTGCGCCGGGTCCACTGTTTATAAACCTACTAGACGAATGTGCAGCGCCGCCTATACGTGTCCTAGAAGTTAGTTTCATAACAATGCTTTGATCTATATGTCTGATGTATAATACAGTAGACAGTATGTAAATAAAGAACGTACACCTAGCTCGCTTTTCTTTCTCTGTTTCGGAGGTAACCATTTTGCCTTGGTCCTTTGTGATATGTGATATTGTAGTTTGTTCAAGTCAACAATTATTTACCTTCACTGAAGTATGTGCAAAGTACTTACATAGGCGCTGTTACTTTAATCTACTGTCTTTCATAATTTCATAGTTAAAAGAAAAGATTATCCAAAGTTAAGGGTTCAAAATAACGCACCATTGTTGTAAATAAAGAAAGTTATATTTTGGATGAAATTGATATTTCGTATTTCATTTATTATTTACCACGTTACATATTCTGTAAATATGTTTATGGCAGGTCATCCATAACATACGAAAACGTAACATACATAAGTAACATACGACCTGGTCTTCATTACACAATACAATGATTTTACATTTTCATAATATACATAAACAATAATTTAGGTACGAACATAAACGTGACCAAAGAGTAATGGGTACTTTTTGTGTCTATCAGAACACGGTAGGCCTCCTTCTGATAAAAATGGGCGCCTATAGCAAAATGGGAGAACCGAAGGACAGTGGTTGACAGGCTTGCATCACTGTCTGAGCGATGGCCACGCAGGTCCTCTAGCTCTGCCGGGAGACAGTGTCGGACTTGATAACGATACCCAGGAAATCACCTCTCTTCTCTGCGTCAAAGAAGTTTTCTCGCTGTACTTCCCAAAATACGTTAGCACTCACCTCATTCTGAAGGCGGTCCTCGTTTTTTATGTATATTTTCCTGCAAGACAGTCACTGCTGAGCGGTTATCCAAAGGCACTGCTACACCATCTTCCTTCTTCAGACTCACTCTTCGCAGTATTTCTAACTGCTCCATATTCACAAGCGCAAACACTGCCCTTATCAGTCAATTTCCTAGCTGCGTTGGACGAACTCGGTTTTCTTAGGCTCGAACAGTCATGATTTATTAAATGAAATGCACACCGCCCCATGCGTCGTTCTGCCCTTTTATATCCGAGAATATGTGTACCAAAGGTTGAAAAAGATTCAGGCGTTTAGCCGGAAGTGATAGTACAGACACACAGACCGACAGACAGATCGACATAATCGAGATTTTGTTTGATTCTGATTTCTGGTGCTTCAAAACGTGTATTTCCGTGCGACTTTAATAATAACAATATTTTTTATTATACTTCATTGAAATCAGCTTATTTACACCTGTATTAGGAATAATGGTATCTGGCCTTTTCCAGGCTAGCGCACGGAAAATAGTATACAAACCTCGCTGGTCAGTGGTTCATAACCAACGCCTCGCGCTTATACCTCACCTCCGTCGGTGAGGTACCTTAAGCCCTCGGGGTAGGTAATGAACCACCTCCCAGCTCGGTATGTAATCTACTATTCCCGGTCCCTTTGATTCTTTCCGTGCGCTGAATATAAATACCCAAAATATTGCTTTAAAATACAAATTTACAGGGAAGTAAACTAATTTTCAGAAAATCTATATGCGTTGTAATGTTTCATATGTAAGTATTTTGTGTTTTAATTCGTAGATGTTTGAATATTTAGATAAACTTCTTTGAGAATTTGTGACATTTTTTGACGTTTCGTCAACCTTATCTGAAATAAACTAATTAAACAAATCGCCTTTGAAATGATTTGAGAGTAACCATGAAAACGCATTTTCTATAACTGTTACAAAATAAAAATGTTAGCGAGTTTGTTGTTTTTTATGTTATCGATTTAAAAGAAGTATAATAAAAAATATCGTTCATTACACGTCCAGAAATGCTTTTTCCGTGCTTGCATGACTTCCATTTGCCACGCACGCACGGAAAAAGCCTGCTTTCCGGACTCCTAATTAAATATACTATTATATTAAATTAATACTAAAATTCTCATAGGTATTTCGACTGGGTCCTGTAAATTTTCCATTAGCAGGGATTCTTGGGATTGTTTCCCTGTAAAAAAGTACTGTCTGTGGAACCAATATCAATCGTACTAAGTATCAGGCACCACGCAATAGAGACATCCTCGAGTAACCAACGAGCTCATATTCGTCGTCCCGATTGAGATATAATGACTCTGCTTCCGAGCATGATGCGGATCCATTAACATATCAATGCCAAAGCCTTCATCAGCCTCGTTGTGTTAATACCGACCAATATTTTGAACCACGCAAGTACAGGGTGGTTCAAATTCGTGGCTCACCATTGGGATCTCCGCAACGGTGGGAGATGTTAAATGGAGGTAAAATTGCCCAAATTTGTGAGAACATTTGAAATTTTTGAAAAACCTATAAAAATAACTGAGATATCACCGAAAAGCTGAAAATGTCAAATTTCGTTTGCATTTTCCCTAGTTCGAACGGTGTTCCTGTTAGGACCTTCTATGGGCACCTACTTTTTTTACGGAGAATTTGAATCTGTTATCAGAATGTCCATAACACGCTAGATGTGGAAGCTACAGGCTTACTATAAAAAATAACCTATTTCTTATGGGCGCGATATTGGATTATTAACGAGCTCCTAGCGAGTTTACAATTGTGCCGTGTCTGCCCGTCTGTCCATCCGTTAGCACGATATCTCGAAAACGAATGGACCAATTACGATAAAATTTAGTAGATGGATTCTTTATCAAATTTGTAGATCGGAGTTCGTCAATTGGCAATGTAGCCCAAAAAAATAAGGAAGGCCCTTTTGACATCTCCGTGAGTTATGAACCGAATACCCCGGAGCTCGTTTTCTATATTTGTTTAGTTTATTACGGAATGAAATAGAGGACAAGAAAAGAAATTCATGTTAATGCATAGCTATCATAGCCATGTTTAGCAAGGTCTAGCTACCCGTGGATGTTTTACTCAGAACGTGTGACACGTCATCATCATCAATTTTGTCTTTCGTAAAAATCCAATATGGCGACCAAAAGAAAAAAAAAATAGTAGTCTGTAGCTTCTACATCTAGCCCGTTATGGAAATGCTAATAACAGATTCAGATTCTCTGGAAGAAAAAGTGTCCATAAAAGGTACTAACGGGAACTGTCCATTTTTTTGCTTTAGCTATAGAAGACGAAGACGAAATTTGACATTTTCACTTTTTCGGTGATATCTCAGTTATTTTCAAAATTTTCAAATTGTACTTTTTAGTCACAAAAAAGAGCAACTTTCCCTCCAACTTATACTGCATCTCTCACCAGGGATCTCAATGGTAAGCCACGAATTTAAATCACCCTGTACAATGGGTGAAACCGGGGTCTACGTGTAAAAAAAGGTATGCGCAGTTTTCTGTTTGTTTTGTATAGTCTAAGATTTTTGAAATTTGTTTTAGATTTGGTGGACAAACACAAAGTGAAGTAATTGAATATTTAAAAAACAAACATTTCTTTATAATTAAGTATACATATTTTCTTTAATCTACCAGAACACAATTTAGACTGTTACGAAACCCGTGTAGCTGGTGGGATCAGCTTTAACTCAATATTTGACCAGATAAGACCACGTATTTTTACTAAATAATGGACGTTTATGCTTTTTGCATAACAATATGGTTACGCAACTCGTATTTGAACTAAACTGTTACGTTAAGCAATGAATACGAGGCAATATGTACCGGTTTAGTTTCTAAAGTTAGAGCAGGAAATTTCGAGTAGAAACTGCCAAACAGTAATTTGGGATGCACGTTGCGATTTGAAACAATCGTAAGGACTTAAAGGAATTTTCATTTCTGTCACTCGTTTTAAAATACCATTTTATGTATTCAGAACAAGCATGCAAAATTTAAGAGAAAGCTTCGTGGTTAGCGGCAAGACTTTCAATTGAAGTTTTGGGTACATTACATGCAATGAAGTAGAAATCTGCACCACATCAATCTAAAGTGCAGTATAGGAATGACATTCTTGGTTCACGATGTCATAGGCAGGGCCGGCTTTAGGCGTAAACGGTGTAACCCGTCGCTTACGCCGCAGACAAGAAGGGGCGCAAAAATTACTCATGTTTAATGACTGACGGACCACAGACGTAAAAATCCGTACAAGGGAGGCATATTCATAAATAGCAGACGCGTTATCCCTTCGGAAAGCTCTGTAGCATTTTTGGACAACTTTGCTTTTCAAAAAAATGTGAGAACACATAAACCTACACATAGCTAAATTGGAATTAGCGGGACATTGCCTGATAGGCGGTACGAAGTTCGCTAGTAATAAATGAACCTCTATACAGGGTGTTAATTAATTTCATGCAGATATTTAAGGGGGTGATACTCGTCAAAATAAGAAAAAATGCAAATATTGTTAGGGACAAAACCCCACCATACTATTTATAATGTGAATAGAGGGTAGTTCTTGAGACAGTTGGAGCGAACATGTGTGACAAGTGTCCGTTCACGACACACATGGGTGTAAATATGTACATTGTGTAATGTGTAATAAATAAAATATTATAAAACTACAGTCCACTAATTTATACTCTGTTTTTTAACTAGGAAGACGGATTTAAAAGTTCCCGCAAAAAATCTTAGTTTCTATTGGCTCGCGCTGCGCCCGTTTTACACCCAGGTAAAATTGCTATTGGCATGATTTAACTCAAACTGTCAAATTTAATCGCGATTCTCGTCCTTAACTGTTGTACTTATTTTTGAGTTTTCGTGTGTTCTGAGTCCTTTTGCATTTAACAATATGAAACAGTTCTTTTAAGAACTAAAGTTGATATTTCGCGTCCTAAGTGTACTGGCATTAGTGATGGATTCAACTCCAAGTACCAGTAAAGCAAGCTTGTCTCCTTTGAAAAAACGTAGTCGCTTAAACTTGGGTCAATTTATCAGTCGCCGAGAAGCAGTTTATTATAAACAAATGTTATCTGATACTCCGGATATGAATTTTGCTACGCTTGTGTTGAAGATTACATCTACCACAGGTACCGTAAATAATGATGTAGTTATTAAAGTATGACACATATTAGAAGTTG